AACCTGTTTAACATGATGTAGAGACATTACATAATCTAAGTTCAAAATTAAAACAAACACATAAAAGTCTCTCACAAATTAGAAAACAAATACATAAAAGTCTCACAAATTAGAAAATAAACATACATGATTAATAATTAAACATTTAAATAATTTGTTGCAGTGGGAGGACTCCAAGTACATTATTATGTTTAGGAGAAGTTGATCCCTGTGAGAAAGGTTCCCCATCTTTCAATGAAAAGTTGAAGATATCTTGTGTAAGATCCTCCACCTCTTCATTGAAATCTACACGAAAATAAATATATATAGATACAAGTTAGTTCAAAATCAATATAGGAAATATAAATAAATTAAATAAGTTTGAAACCACCTTTGTCACCATATAACCAATCTCTGGTACAAACAAGTGCTTCAACTGTTTTCGGTTTAAGTGAGCTACGAAATGAATCAAACGTTCCTTCAAATCCATCATTTTCTTTCAATTTGTTACAAGTTGAGAAACATCATAGGAAGAATACATATTACAAAAATAGTGTAATGTAATGCCCTCCGGAATTAAACTTGTTTAATTATGATAATTGTGGTTTATTAGTGTGCCTAAATTGATTTTTCTTAATTAATCATGAGCTTTTAAAATTTATTTTACTATTTTCAATTTCACCCCTCTGTACTTTTATTTGTCTTTCTTTATTATTTATTTTCCTTATTTTATTTTCCTTTTCTCATTTTCTTTTCTTTCTTTCTTTTCCTTTTTCCCTTCTCTCCCGTAACCCTCTCACACACTCACACTCTCTCTTAGTCACTATCTCTCTCCCTCACCAGGCTTTCTCTCTCTCTCTTTCTCTCTCGCCCATCTCTTCCTCTCTCTTTCTTTCAAGTTTTACCTCTCTCTCTCTCTCTCAAAAATGTTCTTGAACCGGATTTGAAGAAAAACGGAGGTTTCCAAGAGGTTTTCAACATCAAAGCTTGGATCGAGGTAAAACTCTTTGAAACTTACTTTAGATTTTCATATTTGGCTTTGTGGAACTCGTTTTAGTCGAGTTTGGTGATTTTTGATTTAAATTATGTTTTTAAATGGAATCCGAATGGGATTTGGTGAAACCTTGATGAAAATTGGGGGTTTTTGATTCTTTGGACCCCATTTGTTGATTTGAAACTGGATCTATACATTTCCCTTGAGAATATGTCAAAATCGGACCCAAAATTTCAGGTTTTGGCTTTGTTCTTCGCGAATCGGCCATTGTTGGCACTGGAAATTCTTCCCCACCGGTTGACCGGTCACCCTTCCATAGGTCGACCGATTCGGTCAACCGGTCACCTCTCCACCGGCTGACCGGTGGAGTTGCACTCCTCTGTCACCGGTCGACCGGTTCCCACTAAAACTGACCCTAAATAGCCCAAAAAACCCTATTTTGATGCAACAAATAAATAAATTTTAAACATGACGATTTAAATGATTGATTTTAAAAGGGCTTTAAGATGTACTTGAATTTAAGATTTCTCACGAAATCCGTTTTAAAGTCAAAATTAAATGGCCCGATTGAATTGGCTAGTTTTAGAAAGACTTTTTAAGAGCATTTGAAATAAGAGTTCAAATGCTGCTCTGTTTGAAAGATATTTTTAGAACGTTTTATCTTAACTGAAATTAAGAAAAGCTTTAAGAAATTTAGTGATTCACTTATTTGAAATTATTGTTACAAATTATGAAAGTATTCTTTCTTATATTAAAAAAAAAAATGTTCCGCAA